ACCGTGCGCTCATGCACACTCGCAGCGCACACACATAATGCCAGGTTCACATTATTATACTCCGTTTGCAGTGCATATGCAGTGCGTATTTTTCCGCGCCCATGTTAACGGATTAAAGCGTTCACACTGCACACGGTCCAACAGTGCGTTCCAGGAGTGGAGCATCTGCAGCAGTCAGTGCATAGATCATTTCCACACTGAGTCTGTTTCTGCTGCGCTGCAAGCGCTGAATTAAAGTAACAGCGCATTGTTTGCGATAAATATGAACATGGATTGACACGAAAATGTAGTAATTACACTATAAATGCCTATTATTAAAGTCTACTGTGTTTCACAGTCAACACATAGGTTATGACTTTTTGGCTAGGTGTAAAGGAAAAGAGCATTTTTAGATAAACAAGGCAATAATAGATGGCACGTGGAGGTAGGAAAACAAAGTTCTTTATGAACCGCAGGATTGCTTGTAATAAAGATTTCAATGCAAAAGAAAAGGCGGTAGAGCTGACTTTTTCTGTCAATGGTAAGTTTTAATTTAGAATGTTTGTGATAATGTAAGAAAAGTAGTTTAAATGTTTTGTCACTTGCTTGAGCAACTTAACATAAAATCTAGAAGTAAATGCAAAAGTAAAAATCATTGAATAATTTGTTTCTTATATTTATTGCATTTAAACACGTCTATGAAAGACTGTATTACTGTACTGAAAAAAAATCACAATGCTGAAAAAGCATTTTAAGTAACAATGTTTGTATTTGAAATCAGAATAATGGATAAATGCTGTGTTTGTAGTAAACAGCTATGGATCAGTAGTGGACTCCTGTGTGAAAGCACGATGAGTCTGTGCTGCTTCTGAACCGCACATGTACTGCATACGCACTGCAAACAGAGTATGTGTGAACCTCACATACAGCTCATGAAATCAGGCTTGTGCTGTGTGTAAGCTAGTGTGCAACAACTGCACGATTGTCAAAACAAAAATACAGTGCATGATCAAACATTTAGGTCGGATAAATGTATATTTTTGAAAAAATTCTAAAAAATGCCCCCCTCCACCCCTCAAATAAAAAAAATCCCCTCTCACAAGAGTCACCTAAGAGAAGAATTCATTTTCAAAAATGAAATTAAGGCCCTGAATAAATGTATAAAAATCTTGATTGGATCATCACTATAATTAACTCTACATGATAAAAAGAAGGCTTTAAAAAGATCGGTAATCGCATCTGCAGATACTGCTTTCTTTCTGATCCTGATCGGAGCACCCCAATCTTTTACCATTAAAGTTACAATAATATTTTACAATGTGTTAAGATGCCTAGCAAGATAAAAGAATCACAAATGAGTGCTCAACACTCCATGAAAGCCTACAAACTGATCCTAAAGGTAGGCAGCAAAATGATACTGTCTTCTAAAACTTTCAACACTCGACAGGAGTGACGTGACTGATGCCCCGTTCTATTTCTAACATACTCCACGCACTTGTGCTACTTCCGACAACAGTACAAATTCAAAACTATCACTTCAATGCCTCCACTGTAGACAGCCTCATGTTGTTGTGGAACAACAAAGGTCGAACCTGGTGTAAAAACGGTATAAGATAAAAGCAGGGTGACACGTATTCTTCACAGATTAGGCAGTCACATTTAGTACAAAGCCAAGCCAATTCTGATGTTTCGGTATCATGATCTCAAATATTATTAAAAGCACTGCAGTAATATTCTCATAATACACCAGAAATAATAAAAACAAGAACAAAATGGATATACGGAATCAGAAATTAAAGAACTTAATCACATGACTGGGCTTCATATACGCATTAATGTCGTGGACTGACCTTGGGCAGTTTGACGGCGGGTTCGCGGTACTCCTCCTCCTCCTCACTGTCTGAGTCGCCGCTCTGCACAGAGTTGCGAGAAGCCAGGGCCAACGCGGCCTCCTTCTGCTGCCAGTCCAGCACGCAGTGCCGTACATTACAGTAGACGTTGAATGCAGAGGGGTTGCTGTGGAGTTTGATGTCAGGCACTGGAAAGGCCCCATCCAGAGTCTCTGTCTGCCAGGCGACAAAAAGAATTACTGTAATATTAGAAGAAAATATTTTTAGGCATTTAGGGGTGGGCTGCATGACCAAAGACATATTATTTTACATGTAATTTTACAGTAATGGAAGAAATGTATATTGTGTTTATGTAGGCCTATATATTTATTAAATACACATAAAACATTACACGTATATAGCAATATTTTTATATTTAATTACAATAATTTAAAATAAATGTTTTAAATATTGTAAAAATAAATATAAAATAAAAAATCAAATAGAATTTCATTTATAAAAAATTTCATTTCACACTGAGCACGATGCGAAAAAACAAATTGCTGACGAACGTTGTTTCACACCGAATGCGAAACGGTTGATCGCCTTCTGCTAATTCACGCCTGCACGCTAGGTGGCGCCGACCAGCAATGCAGTTTTCCTCAGATATGTATCTCGTATATGCATTTAACATCGTACGCTGCTCAATATACAACATTAAATTAAGATAAAGTTTGGTTCTACACCAGAACCACAAACTATCTATAATGCTTAAAAGAATACATCCTAAAATATAAATAGTACAATTAGCATCAAGCTACACTTGAAAATGTAATTATTAATGTATTTGCGTAAAACCCACTTTAAACCATCATCGAGTGCTTGTAATAACTTCCTATTGTGATCTACAGTTGACTTTGATGATTCTATAATAGGCACACATGCACTCTTTGTATGTTTAATAACGCTACACTGCTTATAATTTGTCATAAACATCCTTTATTGTTATAAAAATACCATGAGCTGCATACAAAACAATATAGAAAATATATTGTCATAATCATATGTCTTTGCTCATCATATATCATATAATCATATATATTTGCTTTCATATTTTGTGTATAAAAATGTTTCACTCGATTTTTTAAATACGGAAGATCTAGAGATTGAATGCGCTCTGACTCATATAACACTTGCTCACGTGGAATAAAACAGACAGTGCTCTCCAGATCACATAATTCAGAGTAGAATTAATAGAAATTATATCAAGAACATGTGAAAATAAATCTGTTCTCAGATAGGCTACCACAGACAACAAGAACTCGGCATCCACTCTCTACTCTCTCGGAATACTCTTCTTTTACGCCTTTTCACACTGAACACGAAAAACGGCGCGAATGTTCGACGCGATGCCGCTCTTGAATCGAAACAATAACAATATTAGGCTGTAAAATACCTAATATACAAGCACGTCTGTAACCGCACATCAGTTCGATTTTCATTTTGATTTAATTTTGGCTTCAAATTCTGAATAACACCCATGTTGATATGCTTCTTCATATGCCACCTGTAAATAACGCAAAGCAGACCTACCCACTGATAACCGTATGGATACATCCACAATCACATAAACAGTGTCAAAATGTAAACCGTTGCACAGTATATTCCGTCATATCATCCAGCCCTACAATGTATCTAAAGTTTCATTGTCCCATTCATCAGTCCTTCCCCTGATAGGCTTAACTCATCCATTTGTCGTCTTATTTGTCTATCAGCCAATAATAAAGGATGATGTAATGCAGGGAAGGTCATTCATTTTTAGGCGGACACCACAGAGAAATCTACCCCCCTGTGTTTGGCACAGCGACGTCAGACATCTGAAGTCATTAGGAAGCCACACATCTGAGCCATGCCTAGCAGCTCAGTACACTTCCTGTGATTTGCTATACTGCTGCAAAGCAAGAACAGCTTGGTTAAGGTGTTACCCGACAAACAGACTCCAAAACAGCTTTTGATTTGGGGAGGATGTCTCGTTTGCTTCTGAAATCTTGTCCTCGTCAGTCAGCGGAGCGGCTGCTGATGGAAGAGACTGATAGACTACACGACTGCCTCGGACTTTACTCTCCAATTCAATGTCCTGGATTTGCAATGCCCCACTTTGCTAGTAAAATCAATGTGAAGCTCACTGAAGTAAATCATGTACAGCTTAAATAAGGAAAAATACTTGCATACAGTAAACACAGAAAGTTCTGCCTGCAATTTTTTTTATTGTATTAGTCATTCAGCCTAGAGCCCTAGAAAAACCTCTGCCTCTAATATTCAAACGATATAAATGACGCCAGTTTCCAATAGTACATTACAGTGCGGAGCAAATCTACAACAGCATGCAAAGGAAATTCTATTTTTAAAAAAAATATTTTACCCAAATCCTCAGTTGAATTCAGAATGAAGACAAGATAACATGGTTTTCTATTGAGTTTTCCTTGGGAGCAAAGAGCAAATGAGTTTTTCATTTAGCCTAAAATCTAAAAAAATTAATAAATAAAAACTGAGTTGGACAAACATTTTTGGACAAACAACTTTTTAATAACAAAATTGTTTCGGCAGTGGCTGTGATAAGAACTTATTTTCATTACAGACTTTTTCAGACATATACTAAATAATGAAAACAACAGGTTAAGTAAAATAGTGAATATACAGTGCATTTCTAGAGTTGTATTTTCTAGCTGACAAACAAGTTTATGGACACTGAATGGCGTTCTGAGGTAAAATGTAACATTATGTGACACTGTTTACAAACGGTTTTATTGACGTCTTTACACGGTTAAAACACTGAGTGAGTGATTACATGTCACATGATACATTTCAGTCATTTGAAATGTTTTTTCAACATATATTTTGATGTTCTTTCATGTTTATTTTGTGCTATAACTAGTAGTAAAGAGGAAGAGATGATCGTTCATGTGCCACTTAAACTGAGGCGGCCACAGTGATCTGTCACGATACTTTAAAGAGCACCAAAATAATATTTGTGACTCGTGTTGGCAAAATGAGTCAGAATGCACGTGGGCTAACTTTCAGTGACAGGCAAAAAAAAAAGTGAAAAATGTCTATTTTAGTCGAATGTGAGGTTTTCACAAATATGAGTTCATTAAGCCCTCGTCTAGCGATTCCAATGCTCCAAATAGTAATTAAACATCTATAATTATCTTTATTTGTGCATTTTCTGCTTTTCTCCACTCGCTTCTCGCGCTGAATCTCATCCAAAGCGCCCGCATAAAAGGTGCTTAAATATACGGCGATAAATATACACACGCAGAATTACAGTATTTAAGTGTTCACATAACATAATCTGTTATTTCTTAAGTAAACGTTTGGGGAACTGTTGGAGAAAAACATCTGATGTGTAACACTATATTAGATCCGTGCATCTCAGTAGGTCTTAATATATAGGCCGTCTGTCTCAATGATAATCAAACAATAAAAGAAAAGAGGGAATCACTCGCTGTTCTTGATTGAACTGCTTTTGTAGTTTTAATAATTTATTTGTAATGAACACACTAAAGGGATTTTTACATTTGATTAATTGTTTTTCTTACTTGAATGCCTTTGTTTAGATGTAAAAATGGAAAAGGTTATTTATGCATTATTTGTTTCTTTATATTTGTTCTACTGCTTTTTTGCATTTGTTCTTATTTATAATAACAAAGATAAAATAAAAATAGCTATATTATGATTATTAATATAGTAATTATTATTAAGAAAAGAACTGGAAGAAAAGATGCAACGTTGCTAGTTGATTTTGCTTTGGAACCTTCAGAAAGCTTTAACTCGATTTTTCTCAGAATTGAGGTTGCGGACTCTGTCGACTTCAAATGGGTGTAGCTCCGTCATTTTTCATCCGATTCCAACAAATCATACATCATTTTGAAGGTACTGTAAAGGAGAATGTAAAATAACTATCGCAATATATGTACATGACCTCAATAATTTTTGGTGACGCAACATATCGCCCATTATCTTTACTTAAAAATTAATGTCACCATGTTTTGTACATTCCACTTGCGCCTGTGTCTTTTGCAGCTTCTCGTACATAACGTGGTGTAGTCATGAGGTGCTAGTTCAAATTTAAAAAATGCTTCTACAAAAAAAGTTTCATCTGCAGATATGGTCTTGTTTAGGGATCTGTGCCTTTGTGCATACTGACTGCCAGGTAGTGATTGTGTTTTTCAGCAATAGTGTGCACCCTTAATTTACAGAGAAAAGAAGGTCCGGGAAAAATCGGTAGAGGGAAAAATCTCCATACAAGTTCTTTGCACATTTTTCTTTTTTTCTACTTGTTACTTTGCACTTTTTGTTAGAAAATTTTTATTTAGTATTTATTCTGTTTTTTTAAGGTATCTAATATTTTGATACTTAATTTCCATGATCTAAATATTCTTAAAAATTAAAAGTTTGTTGTCATTTGGAAGTGTGTAGGCCTTCTTGAATTATTATACTGTTATATTATGATTATATATTCAGTGGCATAAAATAGTCTTTAAAATGACAATAATATCGCTTATCGCAATTATTTCTGGGGCAATATATCGCACAACAAAAAGGTGTTATCGTGACAGGCCTAGTCGACGATAGTCAGAGATATCGCCTGTGGCTGATGGCTGATAATTAGTAACTTATGATGTTTCTATTAATTTGTTATCATGTTAAATACAAATTCAGTCATATTAAAAACATTAGGCTGCTTTTAGCCTTACGCTGGAGTTGGTTCACTTTCCCGCAATGAAACTAAGCAAATAATTACATAAATCAGCACGATAATATCGTGTATTGGCGTTCTCACAGGCTGACGATAGGACGATATGAAAATTGAGCATATCGCCCAACACTACTTGGGATCGGTTCACCAAAATAAGAATCGATTAACAAAGAAATTGATATTTTCAACCCAGCTCTTATATATACTATGCTTACATAACTGAAACTTGCTACAAAAATACTGTGATCAACAAAGAGGACTTCTGCTGTTTTCTTCCCCAGACTCCACTGACATGTCAGTTCATTCGATAACAACGCATTCAGCCTCATACTGAGAAAGGAACCAAAGGACATAACAAGCTCTTGGAAGAACAACCTTTAACAAAACCATAATTGGGCAAGGCAAGGAAAGGAGATCTTCCTTTATACCTGTACAATGGGAGAATACATACAGGTCTAATAGATGAGTAACGAACAATAAAGTCTAATATATGAGCCTGAAACAGGAAGGGACATTTCAAATTATCACATCAGCTCGAAGAAAAGAAATGAATGTACTTTGATAAACTGAAACTCCTTAAGCTCTTGGTGTACAAACTATGCCATTTCTTTACATTCAATACCAAAATGGGTTTATAAATTGATTCAACAAACACTTAATGCACAGAGATGACCATAAGCACAGCATTTATAAATTGCAGCTCTGTGGTGTTTGAAAATTCAATATCTTTAGCGCCAAAACCTGTTCCTTATGAGCATATATACTTCAGTGAGGATATATACTTCAGTGCCTGTGTCAGCAAAGGGGGTGACAATAACGCTGTGCTCTGTAGTAATATCAATCATACACATCGCGGACACACAGTGATGTGTAAATTAAACCTGCACTGTATCAGCTATTCTGCTCTGTGGCCAACAATTGGTGTCTTTCTTTAACAAGTGGCAAACCATGGTGCAAGAACTCCGCTAAATAAAATGCTGAAGGTTGTATTTAGAATATGAAAGTCAGTTGTCCGTACAAAGGTACATGAGTCATACTATATACAATTTACCCACAAGTCCCACCACTGTCGCCTGAAAGGTCAGAGGAAGATAATATCAGCTTACAAGAAATGCTGGTAAAATGAGATTAGCTAGTTTTAAGATCATTGCCTGTGCAAGTATACATTTTACAAACTAAATTTCATTATAAGTAGACTGTAAAAAAATTTTTTTTTCAAAGTTATAAATAAAACATAATTGGAGTATGTTTTACAAAAAAAATACTTTTCAGTCTTTCTACTTCAAAATTCAAGTGTTACTTGCCATTTCTTTGTAATCATTTGAAAATTTACAAGCAATTTCTAAATGAATATTGTTTCTACACCAATTTTTTTTCAGTGTAATAATGTGATGATTTGATATAAAATTAAGCATCACCATGAAAACCGCAATGATTGTAAGCTTGTTATTTAACGTCCGTCAAAAGTATTACAATAGCATAAAGAGCAGGTAGGTTTGGTTCATTTCTGTGATTCAATTGAAGTGTTTTGAATAAAGGGTTAGTCCACCAAAAATGTAAATTCTGTCATTAATTACTCACCCTCATGTCATTCAAAACCCGCAAGACCTTCGTTCATCTTCGGAACACAAATTAAGATATTTTTGATGAAATCAGAGAGCTTTCTGACCCTGCATAGACAGCAATGCAACTGACACGTTCAAGACCCAAAAACATAGTAAGGACATCGGTAAAACAGTCCATGTGACATCAGTGG